CCTTCTGACCCTAGAAACTATGAAACTAAACTATGAAACTATCTAAGAGCACTGACACTGCATGGCACCTCGCGAGGCACCCCAGGGTGCTGCCATAACCCTGCTTGAATATTACTGGGTTTCAGTTGGGGACAAGACAGGCTTAACTTTAAGAACCTAAGAACTGCTATTTACTGGGTCCGACCCTAAATCCTTCTTACCCTGTGCCCTGTGTCATACAGGACTGAGGGGCTGCTTTCCTGTCCCTTGTCCATTCATGTCTCTGGGCAGAATATCACTGGGCAGTGTCCACTGTCTCCTGGGATTTGTTTGAGGGCCAGTGGGTGCTGTGCTCTACTTGGTGTCCTCCCTTGGCACATTAGTTACTAATCTTTGACCGTTACTCCCATCCCTGTTCTTTTATCATTTGCCCCAAGCAATCAGTTGCCACTTTCTCAGTAGCCTCTGTCTCTGAGGGGGGCTCATAGTTTCCCGTGGTGAGCCTTTAGCCCATGAATCCCAAAGTGACAATAAAGCCTGTATCACACAGGCTCAAGGGTCTACTTTCTTGTCCCTTGTGCATTCACATCTCTAGGCAGAGTTTCACTGGGCAGTGTCCACTGGCTCTTCACACTCATTTGAGGGCCAGCAGGCACTGTTCACTGTGCTCTGCTCAGTGTCCCTGCTTGGTGCACTTATTTTTAACCTGTGACCCTCACTTCTATCCCTGTTTGCCTTTTAGTTGTCTTGAGCAATCAGTGATATGCCCTTAGGGCTGCCTCCCCTCCCGCCATCACCAAGGGAGGCTTAGAGCTCTACTTAGTGAGCTTGGGCCCACATCACAGAATGGTGTATTAAAAGGTCTGCATCACAGAACGTTTCCTGGCCCTTTCCACTCACATCTCCAGAGTTTCACTTGGTAGTGTGCACTGGCTCTTTGGACTCATTCAAGGGCTGGTGGGCACTGTCCAGTGTACTCTGCCTGGAGCCCCCTCTTAGTGCACTCATTTTGAACCTTTTACCTTCACTCCTGTTCCTGTTTTCTTCCTTATTTGCCCCCAATAATTACTGAATGTGTACTTTGTAGCCCCCCAATATTAAAAGGGGCTTATAGCTTTACTTGGTAGGCAATAGCCTATACACATCTATACACATCAAACAGGACCATGTCACACAACACCATGGGGCTAGTTTCCTGTCCTGGTCCACTCACATCTCCAGGCAGAGTTCCACCAGGCAGTGTCCTCTGGCTCCTTGGACTCATTTGAGGGCTGGCGGGCACTGTCCAGCATGCTCTGCTCAGTGCCTCCATCGTCTGGAGCACCCGTTATCAACCACTGACCCTCAGTCCCGTCCCTGTTTTGTCTCCCAGGTGTCCCAAGCAACCACTGCCGCACCTTTTGTGCCCCCCTCTTCTGAAGTGGGGCTGATCGCTCTGCTTGGTGGGCATGGGCCCATGTCCCAGAGCGTGGCCTGGTTACACAGCAGCACAGAGCGGAGTCTCAAAGGGGGAGCGAACTGGGTCTGACATGGGGTTTGCCTGCTTCCAAAAGTGTGTGCCCGTGTGCACCTGTCTGCTTCCAAGTACGTGCGTCTGTGTGCTGTCTGCTTCCGAGAGAGAGAGAGAGAGAGAGAGAGAGAGAGAGAGAGAGAGAGAGAGAGTGTGTGTGTGTGCGCGTGTGAGTGTGCGCGCGTGTGTGTGCGTGTGCGCCTGTCTGCTTCCAAGAGAGCGCGCGAGTGTTTTACCCAGGTGGGCGCAGCTCAGGTGTGGGCCACCCACCCCACGGGGAGGCGGGACGAGGCGGGAGTAGCGGCTGGGCAAGCAGCGCGGACAGCGGCCCTGCAGCGGGGCCGGGGCCGGGGCCGGTCGCAGCTCTTACCTGTCCCCGGAGGCGGCGCAGAGGGCCGAGGCGGGCGGGGAGCGGGACAGGGGCAGCTCCTCGCCGCCCTCCCGCGGCTGCTTCCTCCGCAGGCGCCAGGGGCCGAAGGGCGAGCGCTTCCTGGGCT